ACGTTTCTTGATTTTTTTGGTTAATAATGTACATTAATTTATGTTCATTTGTTTCAATTCTCCATCACAAAGTACCAACTTCCCTCATTTTAACAGATAATGTTTCAAAAAAAAATCAGGGGCAGCCATGGTCCCCCCACCCCTTCAACTCTGAGACCCCTCTACTTCGACGGGCTGGCTCCGCCCCTGCGGACAAGTGATTCTTATTAATCAAATATTTCAATTTATTAGTGCTAAATTTCCATAATACATTATTAGAAAAATAATTATTTAGCAATCCCCTTAGGGCACGAAATTGAATTTCTTTTTGATGTTAACAAGTTCATAACTACTTTAAAATTTTAGATTTTTGACATTTGCTCACTCTATATTAACATTTACTTTATTTATTTTAAAATTTAAAAGCTTAAATTGTTTAATGCGATAAATTTATATTGGAAACAATTTTTTTTTATTTGTACTTGGGAATTAATCGATTATTATTGGACATAAATTTTTACCTATATTTTATTTCTTTCACGCTTCTCTTAATTAACGAGTAACATCACTATTGTCACTTCATCTTTTAGAGAGGTTTGACAAGTGTCGAAAAGAGAATTGGTAGAATAAATACTTTTTTACAGCTCGAGTTAGCTTTTTGGAATTAAAAAAAAAAAAAAAAGATCTAAGAACGTCCATCATTTTTATGTTCTTCGTCATGCTAAGTTTAACATCTCGTAAATTTAAGCTTACATATATCCCACCATTTTACTATCTATCTTGCCGTCTTAATAACGTCTACTTAGCTATATTCATTATAATTTTATATTAATTTGTCAAATGCAATCTAAACATCTGTTTAATAGGGATTAAAATTCAAATTTTAATTTAAGTTAAAATCAATAATTAATTTTATTCTCATATTTTATGGAACGCACAATTTTTAACTACGCAGGTTTGATCCCCATTATAATGAGAGTGCTCCAAAAAAATTTATACCGCTGTGGGACCCCATGTCCTTCACTACCGGAGGAGGTGAATTTTCAAAACAAGAATTTTGACTTGGGATTGTATGATTGCATAATAAAATTTGGACAATTCTTCTTGTACATTAAGGGTGCCATAATGGACACATGACATTATGGACAGACACCATTATGGCACTCATAATGTACTTGTAGCACTTTTCATAAAATTTACATAGGATTTTGTTAGAATTATGCTTCTTGTACATCACTCCTTACCGATTTTGTTATGTGACACCCAAAAAAAAATTAATGGATGACAAACAAAGGCTAACTACGGAACTACATTAAGATTTGATCATGCAGCCCCACCCTGACAACTATATTTGATTTCTTACTAAAATATAAATCAAGAAAAACAAGGAAAATCCAACATAGTTACTTTAGAAAACCAAAACCCAGAAAAAATATAACATAATAAGCAAGATTTACAAAGTGATTGAGAAATCCATTAGACACAGACAATCAAATGCAACAAAACTTGATGTAATCCATTATAGCATATCCCCGTCGTCAATATAGACGGTGTGGAAGATTGTAAAATATAAAATTATTTTTAACATTAACATCAATGGATAGCGCTGGAACAATAATGCTTGATATTGCTTGGAATTTGCAAGAATAATCAAATCATTATTTTTACAAAGGTCACTAGAGTTTGTAAAAAAGAAAATTCAAGTTGGTCCATAAAGTATTTTTCTAACTCTATACTCACTAAAATTAATTAGGGCCAATTTTGGCCATCAAACAGCTACTTTGTGGGAAAGGTGAAAATATTTTCCAAAAATGGTGCTTCTCAAACAGAGCCTTTGTGTTCTATCATTGGGTAAAGTATGGCAAACACAATTGCGACTTAGGTGAAAGTTCAATGACCTCTAGTATAAAAATTCCCGACTTTGCATATTGGCATTACATTAGTTTGATGGACATACTAGTGAATTTCAATAATGACGTTAATGGAATCCCAACGATGTGATCCGATTGCTTTTCAATTACAATTTAGAGGCTTGATTTCTTTAAATTGAAATTTAGTGACTCGATTGCAATTAAGTGAAAGTTTAGTAACCTCCTGTTAACCCATACATTATCCCTTCCGAACTACTAGCTAGATAACGGTCTTCTCGTGTGAACACCACAAATTAGTTTTTTTTTTGTAATTTTATATTCTCTATAATACCACTAAATAAAATGCAATAAAGTGATGACCAATTGATCACTCACCCCGCTACAAGATAGTTCTAGTTCACCTTAGAATCTCTTGGAGTAGTTGGTTTGGCCCTGAACCTACCCGCAAATTATGGCCAATACCAGGTATATAAGTAGTGAAATAACTCCATTCTTGTAACATATCTTTTTTTATTAGGTGGAGATTAAAATTAGATTTTTAGTAGATTGTGATAGAAGTTTTTGAAATGTGTGGTTAAAAAGTTGTAGAACTCATGAAAGATGCAGTTAATATTGATTATTTGACTTTGACTTGAATT